GGGCCTCAGCACGGACCTCACAGCGGCTACGGAGGACAGCATCAGCACAGGTATGCAGCTCCCCCTCGTCCGCCACAGCCGCCGTGGCGGCCTCCGTACGGGCATGAAAATGTGACGCACGCGTATAGTGCTATGCCCTACGGGGGGCCGCGTATGGTAGCGAGTATGGGGGGTGGGAGCAGCAGCAGCAGCAGCAGCAGCAGCAGCAGCAGCAGCAGCCTTCGCCAGACTATTACCAGCAACAGCCGTCCTACCCGCCTCCGACGTCGTACTACCAGCAGCAGCAGCCACCACCGCAGCCTCCGCCACCGCCGTCGTTTCAGCCGCAGCAGCAGCAGCAGCAGCAGCAGCACTTCACCCATGCCCCGCCCCAGTCGCCTTCTCCCGGAGCAGGAGCTTTTCCGCCTGGGCATCTTCACTCCCTGTTGGCACACTTTGTGTCCGCTGACGAGATGAGTTCGCTTTCGGTTTCGAGTGATGTAGGCAGTGTCGCATGTGGTGATCTTGGTTTTGCTTCGTCTGCATATAGTTGCGAGTACAGTCCTCGTAGGGAGGTATTTTGGTCTGATAGCGGTGCAAGTAACCATTTTGTGAGTAACAGCTCCAAGATGTACAGCATCTCGCTTGTTCCCCCCGGCAAAGAGTTCATCCGAGTAGGCAATGGTGCTCATTTGCGCGTGGAGTGTGTGGGTAGTGTCAATCTGGCATTCCANGTGTGAGTCCGTGAAGCCCCCCGTTGCGTTCGCTGTGATGCAAGATGAGTTGGACGCGCTCAAAAACTTCGTTGCCGAGTGCCGTGTGAAGCAAGATGTAGGTCCCCCCTCCCTTTCCCATGCTTTGGCGATTATCGCCCCCGGTGGTCCAGCGTTCACTGTAGGAAAACCCACGTCCACCATCGACATTAATTTGTTCCACGCTTCCACCGGCCACGTGAATGAATTTTTGATGAGGGAAACCGCCAAGCAGCAGGGTGTTCAATTGGTGGGGGAACTGCAACCATGCGTTGGCTGCGTCGAGGCGAAGGGCAGGAGGGCCCCGGTGCCGCGGCGTGGGGTCACCGGCGCGGCGGTACCGTTCGGCAAGGTGCACATCGACATCACCGGCCCGTACTCTGAGGCGTTCGACGATTCCCGATACCTGATCATGTTCGTGGACAGTGCGTCGCGGTGGCAACGGGCGTACGGCATGCGGGCTAAGAGCAACAGCCTGACGTACACGCGGCGTTTCCTCGCCGACCTGAACGGCAACGGCCCTCTGGGGTGTTTCTGCATGGGCAACGCGGGGNCGCGCCAGCAAGGCGGGCGTCCAATCCGTTCGTTGCTTCTACCTGCACGAAGCGCTCNATCGGCGATCTGGGCCTCCGGCTGCTTCAGCCGTTCCGCGACGTCGGCCGACCCGGCCTGGATGTCGCCGTTCGAGGCTTTCTTCGGACGCAAACCGTCGCTCCAAGGTCGTCCCCTTTTTCCAGGAGGGGATGATACGCGTGAAGCGCGCCAGCAAGGCGGGCGTCCAATCCGTTCGTTGCTTCTACCTGCACGAAGCGCTCAACCACTCCGACGCCACTGCCGTCGTACTCCGCGCCGACACCGGAAGGATCTGCCTGTCCAACAACGTCGTGTGGATCAACCGCCGCACCGCCGTGCCGGCGCCGGTACCGGCCAGCGGGGGGGGTTCTTCGGTCACCGCGGCGCCCTCGCCGGCCGCCGCCGTTCCTACAGCCGCTGCCGCACCGCCACCGCCATGGACATCGCGGACGTACACCCACACCCCGCCCACAGCGACTACCGCTACGCAGCCACCCGCTTCGCCGCCGCCAGCTTCTCCGTCGATCTTCGCAGGGTCCGGAGCTCCGTCGCCGATATCCACGGCGTCGTCGAGTGCACCGCCGTCCACCGCA